TGGAGGGGAGGGGGGGGGGGGGGGGTACAGCCCCCCCATCCTCCCAAATACTTAGCTGTGTTGCACATGCACAATGAGCTCTGAGCTCACCGGCTGGTCAGTGAGGGCTCCTCCTGGAGCTCCACATGGGCATTGAGCTCTGAGCTCACCACCTGACTGGGTCTGGCCAGCCCTGGCATAACAAAAAGAGCTGGGCCCAGGGCAAACCCTGGATAAATCTGAAAGCAGTAGGAGCTGGGAACCTTTTTGGAGTTCCTGGCATGGCAATGCTCCCAGGGTACAGACTTGGTGGGGTGGGCTATGTCAGCACCCGAGGCAGGAGCCCCTCTTGCCCATCCCTAGTTATGCAACTGCTAGCCAGATCCCCTGCTTTGGCATGGCTCCAAAGCCCAGGAGTTGAATGCTGCTGCTGTTGAACCTTCCCCTCCCTGCTGAATTTCAGCAGCAAGGGAAAAGAAGAGCAGCAGCAGCACTCAGTCCCTGGGCTCCAACGCCACATGAAAGCAGGGGTTCTGGGCAGATCCCACACTGAGCTCTCATGTATGACTCAACCAGAGGGAGTACAACCACAGTGGTGCACCCCCTCTGGATCCTCCCCTTTTCCCACTCCTAACCCCCCCCACAAAGCATAGGCAACAACATCAAGTGGCATGCCTTACAGTGTTAATCATCTAATTCTAAATCTGAATTATGTTTTGGCCTATGCTCCAGCTTTCAAATAGATAGAAACTTTGAAAGTGCTACACCAATTCATAATTCCAACCACTATCTATGATATTACAACATTTCCACAGCACTATTTATAAGCAAAACTTAATGTTCTGTACAAGTGCATTCCTACTATGTTCAGTATCTCTCATAAACTTAGTGTAATGAAGCAGAGAGGCTAATGATATGCCCAGTGTCACAAAACAAGTAGGCTGCAGTCAAAAGACTCAAAAGAATTCTTGACTCGTGAAACACCCGCTCCATACCACTCTTTAAAAGCAAGAAGACTGAGTGCTATTTTTCAGCCTGGGTAGAAATAAGGTCAACTTTTAATTCTTATTCTTCAGACATGAAACACTACTACTATTAACAGGGGAGAGAGAGAGTCAATTTTGAAATGATTCTATAATTCTAAATGTGAAAATTTTTCCGGTTGAAATATTAAAATAGAAACAAATGTGACAATATGGGGGAGGAGGGAGATAGATGAACAAAGTAAGTATTTTTATTCTCTTTTATAAGATACAGAACTCTTCAAATATTTAGTTCTGTTCATTTGTTTCATTTATTTTTTAAATCTGAGAAACATTACTGTTCCGGATCAAAATTAGAAGACAGACTTACCGCAGCAATCATAATTGCATTATCCAAAAATCCAAACCCCACAAAAGGTAATGCATTGTGGAAGAACACTGAAAAAAAAATGAGCAACAAGGGACAGTAAGTATCCACTAAATTAAATAAATCCAAGTTTTGGTTGTTCATATATGACTTAATATCTCATTTAAAAAGACAAATGGGAAAACAATACATAACGTCACACATGCAGTAGTCTTTTTCCCCTGATGCTTCTATGAAGTTTGGTAGTGGTTGTTGTATTGAACTTTCTGTTTTCACTCCCAACAACACTGGCATACCACTTGCAACAAGCAGTTAGTGGTAACAGCACCTGGATCACGTATTTACTTACACTACACATTCTCAGTAAAGCTTTGTTTAACTTCGGACAGGCAGACGCTAGAATCCTTCCTACTGCAGAACATATGCAATGTAATATTTAAAAACTTGTCAAATTGTCCACAATGCTTTTGACTTGCACTTCCCACTAGTAGGGGATTTGCCTAGTAGTTTCCTTTCCCTGCAATTTCCCCCTTGCCCACGTAAATAGTTTCCAACCTCTCCATTCACTCCTGAAAAAAATCAGTTTTTTGATTTTGCAGTGTGCATTGCCTGGAGCCAGACAGTTCAAATATACATAGTTTTAAATCCACAATGTACACCTAGATTCCCCAATCAGTAGGCTCCACAGATGCTATGTCACATTAGAGAAAATGTTAAGTATAGCTTAAGAACGATTTACAAGTATGCAACTTTTTCTTTGTTTAATCATTAGGTACTGATTTATGTCAGCTCTTGCCTCCTCAGGTGAGGGACTGCATCGTCCTTTATGTTTCTTTAGTGCTGAAATACTGTACTTAAAGCTTCTCCCCTACTTATTACTCATATTGAGCTTGATCTCACTTCCTGTATTTCATCCTCTTTTCCTCTCCTTCCACTACCATAGTCCAGGAAAAGAGGTTCTTCTTGAAATAATTCAATATTATGGTCATTTGAAAAGTATCATAACATGAATACCTTCCATCTCTTTCAAGATGTGTACTCTTTAGGATCTACAGAAAGGTTTAATTAGTTTCTTGCTCAAGTCAATAGGATTTCATACACTTCACAGGCACGGTCCCCAAATAATTAACACTACAAACAACTTTGACAACTACAGTAAGTGTGCACACGTGTATTTGCTCACTGATATACAACAAGACTTACTTAGGTTCCTTCTGTTGTACCTAAAACTTGACCCAAATGTTTCCCCCTCCCCCAGTTCACAAAATATCTCCAGTCAAAAAGTTATGCATTTGTTCTTTGTGCATTCAATCATTTCATAAAATTAACTTCGGCTTACAACTTCAAATGCAAAGCAAATTTCAATTTGTCATGTGTTTAAAGTTTGCCCTCAAAAAATAATTTTAAAGCTAAGATCTGTTGGTAAATATTTGCCAAAATGATCATGAAAAAGAATTTAGTGGGCATAGACATAGTTGAAAATAAATGTCAACCCACTATTCCACAAATACATATAGATATATAATATTCGGTGGAAAGCGAAAAAAATATCAAGACACTGACTTTTGTATAATTGAAAATTTACTCAGGCACTACTGGCTGTCAAAAAAAAACACTGTGAATTTCAACACCTAATGCACTAAATCAATTCCTTAAAAAGAGAGCACTATTATAACCAGGCCAACTTTACTTTTCAATTCTCAGAAATTTTGCCTGATATTTATGCAGAAGTCCTCACCTCACTTCTGACATTTAAAATATAACAGAGTAGACAAAAAAGTGTTAACATCTGTTTTGCAGGAAGCCCGGGGACCAGAATTTTGACTGGCCATTAAAAATACAAAAAAATTGGCTATAATAGCAAAACAGCTTTAAGCTAACAAAACTTTTTATATTGGTGCTTGATAGTAGTTTGCACTCAGGTTCTTGGAAATGTAACATTAGTAACAATAACATACAATAGTGCAGTATTATTCTGCAAAATGTGACTACTACAAAATCTAGCCAGGTCACATTCTAGTTGTAAGATTCTTGGGTACCTACCATTAAAGAAAGAGTTACAAGACGAGCTTATGTACAATTACATGAAATGAAGACAAAGGATTTAAAATATAAAGAATCAATGCATTACATACAGAAATGAACTATAGTCAACAAATATATTTTTCTTTTACCGTGCTTCAGCTGTCCTGTAGATGGTGGTGCAACTTCCAACTTCTCTAGACAGGTCAAAATGAAATTAGAAAATTAGTCTAATCAACCAGTTTTTCAATTCCGTCACAATACGTGAAGAGCTTAACTGTCTGTAGCATCTCACTATACCCCAACAGGCAGAAAACAATGAAAAGTAATGAAAATATTGGTATTCCTAGAAATAGTACCCAAAATATGCATCTAAATTATGTAAAAAATAAAACTCTAAAAACTGGTTTCAATAAAACAATAAAATAGCCTCAGAGAATGCCATAAAGTTGCCTGTGCTAAAATGATTTCATGAGCATCTTTAGACAAAAGAGCTTTAGAACATACACAAACAACAAGGCTCATTTCCAAAGAGACCATTAGCCCTGGTAACTGGAGCAGTGGCTTGGAAACTGGAGACCTGGGCTCTGGGCCTTCCACTGTCTAAGAAGGTTCAAACTCACCTCTTTTACCTCACCACCAGGCTATAGGCAAGGGGCACTCTCCATCCTCCTGTGGCTGTCCAACCATTGTGCAACCAGGAATATAATACTTATTAGGGCCAGAAAGACAAGAATAGGGAGTGTGACTCTACAACCTGGTGATGAGAACATTCATCTGGAAGGGACGGACCTTGTGGTCTCATGCCTATCCGGGGATCATATATGCATCTTGCATTAGACTCATTGGATAAAATGCATGAACGTTGAGAGCAAGGACTGAAGATAGGACTCCCCTCAGAGGACTGCCCTCATTATAAAGTTAAAAAAAGGTAGAGACTGCTCCTCTCAATTGTAGGGGTTGAGCATTATAACAGCAGGTAGCCTGTTAGGTATGTAGGGCCCAAACCCATGTATCTTGCACTCCTGACTGCTCAGGAGTGCAGTCTACAGGAAGAGTGTACAGTGTTGCCATCCCAGCCTAGTATTTACAGCACTACCCTAGGAGGTAAGAGATGGGGGTTTAAAGTCCTTCTAGCCAAGCACAGCATTAAACCCAGGTATTTCCCTTCTTAGGTGACTGTTAACTACTAGATGATGGCATAAAAGATGGGAAGAGCCACCATCTGCAGCTGCCATGCTTTTAATCAAAGTATCTGTGACTGGTTAAATGCTTTAACTGTGGGTTAGGTATGCCAAGAGCATAACTTAGTTCTCTGAGGGGCTGTAAACAAGGCATGGAGTGACATGGTTTATGAATCCCAGAAAGGCATGGGTAGGAGCCATCTCCTACCTGTGCCTTTCTGGGATTCATAAATTATGGCCAGCCAGAATAGCAGCACCTACCAATGCACATTAAGAACACTCTAGGTGCCTACAGCAAGCTCTTGGCAGAAAACTCAGGCACCTGAGAGCCCAAAAAAACTTAACACACAAGAGGAATATTAAAAAAAATCCAAGTCTTTGCCATAAGGCAGTAAATTACAGTTTAATTAATAATGCACAAAAACACAGCCATAAAAAAGCAACAACGCTTCTTGAAAAAATGCACTCAGCATGCAGCAAGTAGTCATCCGTTTCCCGAGCCAGTATATGTAATGTTAGCATTTATGTTCCGATATCATGGATCTTTTCCTCATTAGTACATGATTAAAAGTAAAATGATATAACAAGGGTACAGACTGCTATTAATTACAGGGGTTGAGGTACTGTTGTTGTAATGGGTAACCTTTTAAATATCCAGGGCCTAAACCATAAAAAACTTGGAAGATAAGGACAAAGAACTGGAAGGTGATATGGTACTCTATGGGGAACTAATGCAATGTAACAAAATAACATATCTGACATGCTCACAGATTGCTTTGTTCTAATCCAGCTTCAAGAGGTAGCAAGGGGTTATATTGTATTTTTACTTGATATATATCATTTACTGTAGCGATGGACGTGAAGCTAATGAGAGCTGTTAAATACTAAACTTATTTGAAAAAGACATCAGGCCATATATTTAGGAGTCTATGCATGCAGATTTTGAGCCAAACAGTGGGCAACCTCCCCCCTTTTTGCTAACACAGCTGATCTCAGAACCTGAGAAAGGATGGACAGAGTTGGTACTGTGACTCATTTCATATCTGTCTAAGAGAGCCTGCCTAATCCATCACCCAACATGTTCAGCACATGTTCAAAGTGGCCACAGTGCCTAGAATAGCAACATAAAAAATAGTGTGTTCAATATTTACACCGCCCGCTTGCAAGTCTCCAGCAAGTCTACACTGGTAGAATTAGTAAAGCAAGTAGCTCAACACCTGTATGAACTGCTACAGCTTGAGACAATTCAGAAGGTGAAAATGATGCAAAATGCAATGAGCCATTTATATGGAGTTATATTTTTAGAGCATGTGGACACAAGTGGTTTATTAGTTCACACTAGGATTCCAGAAAGTTAATGTGTTGATGTCAACCTATAAAGCTTCAGACAGTATACAACCTTGTTATCTAAGAAGTTCTTCTCACCATGCCAGGCTACCAGTGGAGAAGAGGCACTTCATCCAGAGCTTTCTAACTACTTACCAAAAGCAAGACATACATTTTAATTACAGCAAAGCAGATTTAGATCAAGTCTTAGGAAAAAGTTCTTCTTGACTGAAAGAACAGTCAGCAGCATTGGCGGCAATCCCTTACTGCTGAAGATAATCACTTCCACACATCAAGTAAAGGGCTGTAAATGAGTAGGTTGATAGCCAAGGTCGATCCTAAAGCTGCAGTCTCTCTGGCAAATGCCACAGATGGTGGCTAGGGGGAGGATTGGACCACGCACTTCATGGTCTTGTTTCCTTTCCTTCCATTTCTATTGTTTTTCTGCCTCCAGGGCGAGACAATTTTCCTCAAAGAAAGCAGCACCTTCTCTCACAAGGCGTCACCATGTAGCCTTGTCCCAAACTAGTTTTTCCCAATATGTAGTGTCAATACCAAACTTCTTAATGTTTGCTTTGAAGGTGTCCTTGCAGTATTTCCTCCAGCCACTGCATGTCTTTTGTCCTTGGCTGAGTTTGGGGTATAGCAGTGGCTTTGTGTGCCCATGCCTGATATACATTTACCAGTGTCTTTCTTGTCCACCGCAATTTATGTTGGATAATCAACACTTCCATACTAGTGGTGTTATCATCAGTGAGGACACTGGCATTTCTGCAATGATCCTCCCACTTTACGCCAAGGATCTTCTGGAGACAGTGCTGGTGATGGCGTTCCAGGCTTTTCAGATGATTCCCATAGGTTGCCTGAACTTCACAGCCCTAGAGAAGAGTTGGGATTATCACAGCCTTACATAGTAAGAATGTTGATCTAGTCCTGATGTTATCATTGAACACAAGATGATTCAGTCTTCTGAAGGCAGAGCTGGCATATCACAACCTATACTACTGGATCTCCTCTTCAATGTTGGCCTCCTTTGACAGATACCTGCCAAGGTATGCAAAGTGTTCAACATTCTCCAGCTCCTGTCCTTCAACGAGGATCTGTCAGAGGAGG